GCTACAGGAAAAGAGATTCCACCTAAACATTAGGAGGAACTTCCTAACAGTAAGAGCTCTTTGACAGTGGAATAGACTGCTGCCTTGGAGGGTGTTGGAGTCACTTTCTTTGGAGGTCTTTAAACAGAGGCTGGGTGGTCATCTCTCAGAGGTGCTTTGATTGTGAGTTCCTGTATGGCGGAATAGAGTTGGACTGGATGGCCCTTGGTGTCTCTTCCAACTCTATGATTCTGTGATTCTAATGGAAATGGTATGTATGAGCCTCAGGACTGTGTGTGATCTACCTCGCCAATACATCAGGGACATGTGCAGTCTTGCCTGTCAGAATCAATTCATCAGCCTAGTGAAATAGGTGTATATGCTCCAGATAGTGATGGGGTGGTTTGAGAAAGGAAGATCTAACTTCTCAACTAGGCTTTTCCAACTTACATAAAATTATACAGTAAAACTTGCATAAAATCTTGTGTTGCATATTACTGACTAGGAATAGGGTTCCATGTAGGGCCTGAAGTTACTTCCTTGTACACACACTCGCACTGGTTCAGGACTAAGCAGACTTTTATTATCATAGGGACTAGAAACTTCCACTGTTTCTGTTTTTTAAAGAATACCATACTTCTCAGAAACTGAAAATGGCACCTAGCCCCACAGCCTGCGGTGTTTTTCTGTGTTCTTGTAGGATGCATGCAACCCAGTGGTTCTTCAAATTTGGAAAGTAGTATTAATTTTAGAATAGGTTTGGGAGCTTTTGTCCTTCTAGCACCACAGAGCTTGGCCAATGGTAAGGGACTGTGGAATTTTTAGTACAAAATACCTGGAGGTCTGAAGTCCCCTACCTGTTCTTAGAAAACAGAGGAGAGTACTTAGGAGTCCAGGAAAACCTGGAGAGCCAGCATGGTGTGGTTTCAGTGTTTGACTCAGGGAGACCAGGGTTCGAATCCATGCTGAGCCATGGAAACCCACTTGGTGACCTTGGGCACATAACAATCTCTCAGCCTCAGAGAGCACTGCCCAATCTCCTCTCAACAAATCTTGCCAAGAAAACCCTATGATACTAAGGAGCCCTATTCCTTAGGGTTGTCATAAATCTCTTCCACACTACAAGTCTATTGCACTTTAACTGCCTTGGGTCCATCTTACAAAAGCCTGGGATTTGTAATTTGGTGAAGCAGTACAGCTCTAGCTGAGAATTCTGAATATCTGAGAAAAGTACAAATCTCAGGATCCCATAGGACAAAGCCATAGTAGTTACAAGTGGGATCAAACTGCTATAATTGTGTAGTGTGAAAACAGGCTACAGTTGACCTAAATGCATGCAAGGAAGCCCCTTGCAGCCGTTAAGAATCTGGTGTCCTCCATTCACTTACATGGCCCTGAGGACCATCTGCATCCTTCTTGACCATGTCTTCCCAGCATACCACTAAGAGAAAGACAGAGGCTAATCCCTCCATGTTCTCATTTTGTCTCCTCTAGGATGTATGTGGTCCATTTGTGGGATCCATGACCAAGGGTGGGCTGAACGGGCTGTCTTCGGCAAGATCCGCTACATGAATTACGCCGGCTGCAAGAGGAAATTCGACGTTGGCCAGTTTGAACGCAAATACAGCCCTCGCAAATTTGCCCAGTAGCAGCAAGCAGAAGTCCAAAGCTGGAAACACAGTTTTAGCTTGGGAGGGAGGAATATTGTGGCTCTGACAGGAAGGGAAAACTAGCTCTACCCCAAAGAGCATGATTTATTTCTCTGCCACGGCTGGAATACAATTCATTCTGTCTTGGTTGGTCAGTCTCTAGACCCGTTTGTAGTAGGAAATAATTCCTTCTGTTTCTCTGAGCTGCTGTTAAGCTCACTTGCCAGATGGGTTGGAGAACATCAAGCCTTGGGCCAAATGCAGCTTTCTGGCTTTCTTTTAGATGGTTTGACATTGGTTGTTGGCTTTATGGAATGGAAGCAGAACTTGGAATATAACTCCCAGACTACCAGCCTGGCCCAAAAAGTAGCTTTTTGGTATTCTGGATCTGGAGCAAATTTCATTTGCCTTTCTTAAGCTTCAAAAATCCTTATTTCTAAGGATACAGGGGAACATAGTCTATGTGTTGCAAAAACCAGCTTGCTTACTTACTGTTTTCAGATTTCTAAAACTCAGGGTTTGTAGACTTTTAATGTTCTGTCCTCTGCGAGCCAAAGTACAAAGTGCTTTTGATTCAGAAGGTGGCAAAAGCAAGTTTGGGACCGACTGTTACACAACTGCAGTGCATGGCATTTTCTATGACTTTGTTTGCTTTAGTAAAAAACAAGACAGAAAATGCAATTGTAAACTCTTTATTGTTTGAGATGTGATGCTTTAAATAATTGGGGGGGGGAGCATTGGTGTAGAATGTAGCCTTCATTTTAAGGCATGGGTGGGGGATTGTAACTAGTCCAGGGGCCTCAAAAGAATTCCCAAAAAGCAAATGATACTGGAAGTGGCTGGAAATTACTACTTGTTTTGAACAATGGGACTAGGTTGTGTTGTTCCTCCAAAAAAAACCAGCAGGCTGAGGACTGCAGTTTGCCCACTTCTGCTTTCAGGATAGGCCACTTAATGCTGCAGGAACATGCAGGGTTATCTAGACAGGCTCTCCACTTTTGGCAACTCTTGAACAAATGGCATTTCCCATTAAAGACAAATACTTGTTGTTAACTGCCCTCAAGTCAATCTCAACCCATGGTGAACCTATGGATGAGACATCTCCAAGACCCTCTGTCCTCCACTGCTCTGCTTAATTCCTGCAACCCCATACCCATGACCTTTAATAGAGTCCATTCACCTGGCATGTGGCCTTCCTCTCTTCTGACTTCCCTCTACCTTCCCAAACATTATTTTTTTTCCAATAGTCCTCCCTTCTCATGATGTGCCCAAAGTACAACAGCCACAGTATGGTCATCTTGGCTTCCAAAGAAGTTTCCGGCTTGATCTGCTCTAGGACCTACTTGTTTGTCCTTTTGGCTCTCCATGGGATCCTCAGCACTCTTCTCCAGCACATCCCAAATGAATTGATTTTCTTCCTATCATCTTCCTTAAATGTCCAGCTATCCTATCCATACATGGTAACAGGGAATACAATGGCTTGTATGATTCTAACTTTTGTGCTGAGTTGTATATCTTTGTGTTTTAGAATCTTCCAATTCTTTCATAGCCGCTCTCTCCATTCTTAGTCTTCTTCTGATTTCCTGACTGCAGTCCCCATTTCCATCAGTGTTTGATCCCAGGTATGGGAATTCTTTTACTATTTCTTCATTGTCTAGGTTGAACTTGTGAAGGTCCTCAATGGTCATTATTTTTGTTTTCTTTATGTTCAACAATAAGTCTGCCTTTGCACTTTCTTCTTTGACCTTCCTTAGTAGGTGTTCCAGGTCTGGGAGGTTTTCTGCTTGTATTATGGTGTCATCTGCATATTCCAGATTGTTGATATTCCTTTCTCCTTCTTCTGTGTGAAAGCCTGCTTTTCTTATATGTTCTGCATACAAGTTGAACAGATAGGGTGAAAGGATGCAGCCTTGTCTGGCCCCTTTGTCAATTGGGAACCATTCTGTTTCTCTGTGTTCTGTTCCGATAGTAGTCTCTTTTCCTGAGTACAGATTCCTCATCAGGATTATCAGATG